TTCTGGAGGCGCAAGTAATTTCGGCATGTTAACTACCTTGTACCCAGGCGTCTCTTTGTAAAAAAACAGCGATGCGCGTATGCCGAGTTTACATGAAGTATTGCCAATGATGACAGAAGGGCGAAGGGGCTGATGGGAACACAACAGCCCCTTCTCGCGTCGCTTGTCTGCCTGAATACTTCATGCATTACAATTATAAAGCGCCTGGGTATGAGGCAGGCATGTTAATATGTGTTCAAGCCCGTTTTCCACAATAAGGGAGCGGTCATTATTTATGGCGGGGGGTGGCACCGAAGAGAAAAGGGTTGGGTAAACTAAATTTTGAGTGAGTAAAAGGTTGGGTAAATGAAAAACAAATCAACTCAAGGATTGGGTAATAAAAAATTATAGTCATATGTCAATACAATATGTGAATCAATCAGTCACTGTCTGGATCATTTTCCAATTTGTTAGAAGACAAATGGTGTCTCCAAAGAAAGCACATGTGCAGACAACATGATACATTAGACTGCAGCAAATTTCACAAGCAGTTATCAAACTCCTCAGTGTCACAGAAATCGGGTAAAGGACATATGTGACAACTGAATGGTAATCTTTTGTAAAGTTTAATTTTGGCCAGGGGTGGGTATTTATTTTTTACTTGATATTTGAGGTTGGGTAATCAAATTTTTGACTTTTTAATGGTTGGGTCAGCAAAATTTTTGCTACGAAAAACATTTCTCTTCGGTGCCACCCCCCACCATAAATAATGACCGGTCCCTTTGTTTCGCTTCGCGCGAACAAAATTTTGCCAATTGGTTAGCAACAAAATTTGCCGCGAAAAAGTTCCTACTTTTTTACTTGTCGCTTCATGCGAAGTATTTCGCCTTCGTCGAAAATGGGCTTAACCCATTAAACAACCCACTACATGTAAGCTGCAATGCGCCTCAATGTTCCTACTTTGTTCTATATTCTGTCTAACGCCAAACAAGTTTACTTTTCAGGGGGAAAATATTGTTGAAATATTGGGCAGTAATAGGCCAGACTGTGTGCTTATGTCTTGAACCCATTAACATGCAAGACTCTCCCTTTGATGAGTAAAGTCATCTGAAGAGTAAAATAATAAAATAGGGTACGTTTTGGCACATTGCAGCTTAGTGCTTTACTATTAACCCATTAAGCCACAATGTGCCCTAATGCACCCCACTTTATTCAACTATAAATTCAACGCTTTCAACAAATTAATTTTTCTTTAAACTTGGTCAAACTGGTACAAAATGTTATTCATAAAAGTATGATCATATCCCAAGTACAAAAGTGTATAAAATACTGCAACAATTTAGTTAGGTTGCTAATATATATACAATGCATAATTAACATACAACTGCAGTAGCACAGTATCTCACTTCCCGCATTTCAGGAAGTTCTTGCCAGCTATAGCGATCAAATTGAAAACATTCTACAGACTTTAAGTACTTTCCTCTTTCATCTCGGCCTCCCATGACAATCACAGTGTCTCTGACAACTGCAGCCACACATCCTTTCCTCTTATACTTCATGTCTGGTAACATAC